TACATTACTTACCATACATTAATTCGGAATATTATTTATCTTGCTTCTCATATACACAATTCGATTTACACGGAAGCTGGTTATTTATTTCTCTTCAATATGCTAGCAAAATATATTATTTACTGTCTAAAAATAAAATTAAAAATGTTCTAAAATGAAAGTTTCAAAATTTCTGGGTGCATCGCTGTAATACATAAAAGAAAAGAAAAAGCGACTGTCATTTTTTTGGTTACCATTTTTCTAACCTTGTAGATCCATTAGGGTTTTTTGAAGCAGGAAACGGGGAAGATGTGCAGTGTCCTCACTGGGATTTGAATCCTGGATATCTCGAATACGCATCAAGTATGCTTCCAATTACTCAACGAAAGCATGCGGAAAAGAGGGAGAGAAGACATTATATCGTGATGTATATTTACACTCATGTCCATAAATTAAGGATAATGCAAAATCAGGCAAAGGAAGAGTTAGAAGCAAAACAAATTTGACTTATTTGTAAAGCTTATTTATTAAACAAAAGGTAAAGAGCACAAAAAGATGCTATATGTTTGATATTATTAAAAAATTAGCGATTTCTGGAACAAATTACAAAAAAAAGCATATTTACAAAAAACCAATATTACATGGTTGGTATGATTGTTAATACATTGTATGTCTCCCAGACGATGCAATACAGTCCGTACAACGCCTAGGCATGCTGAGTATCAAATTATCGATCTGATCTTGGGGGATATTACACCACTCAAAAAGCAATGCTCTCCGAAGTTCCGGTAGACATGTAGGAGAAGGTTGACGGGTTGCAACTCGTCGGCCAAGTATGTCCCACGCGTGCTCTACTGGATTCAAGTCCGGTGAGAATGCTGGCCAGTCCACACGGGTGATATCCTCCGACTGAAGGCATTCGCTTACGATGTTTGCACGGTGAGGACGGGCGTTGGCATTCATAAACACAAATTGTGCGCCCATGGCGCCCCGAAACAAACGTACATGTTGTTCCAGAAAGACGTCCCGATAGATTTGGCTTGTGATGGTTCCAATTTGAACATGCAGGTCAGTTCTGGAACTCAGAATAATTTCACCCCCAAACGAGCACTCCTGCACCACCGTAACGGTGTTGTTCAGTGATGTTTTCTTGGTGGTACCGGGTACCTGGAGCTCTCCATATGAAAGTCCGGCGAGAATCAGACTGCAAACTAAACCTGGTCTCGTCGGAAAACATCACACAAGCCCAATGTTGCGGTGTCCACAATGCATGCTCTCTACTCCAAACTAACCGCAGGCGACAGTGAGTTGCAGTAAGTGGAACGCATCTGACAGGCCTACGAGCATATAGACCAATCTGCCCTAAGCGTCTGTACACGGTCTACCTTGAAATTGTCGTACCAGTGGCTGAAGAGAGCTGACGAGACAGGTCTCAGGCTGTGCTCCGCCTGTTTCTTTTGGCAGTAACTGCCAAATACCGGTCCTCATTCGGCGTTGTAACTCTGGGGCGACCTATGCTGTAACGTCTACTCACATTACCATCATCTTGGAATCGTTACCAAAGCCTGGAGATGACACTCTGGGCAATTCCAAGTTCGTCTGATATTTCCAGTTGGGTACGCCCACATTCCAGACGGCCGATAATCTACCACGTAAAAAATCATCCAAATGCGTCCTTTGTGTCATAACTATTCGGTTATTGCACAGAAATGCTTATAAAGCGCCTGCGAACAATTTTACTTCTTTGCCTGTATTCCTTATATATCACTCTCTTACACTCTCGTCATTGTGACGTACCATCGGTGTCATCTGGTTACTTCCTGAAATTTGCATATGATTCTTGAAGATGTGTGTAGTGATTTTACAGGTGATATATTTATTTTAGAGTTCGATTTCCGCGTGACTCCAAATTATCCTTTATTTATGCACATGAGTGTAGTTTATATTATCTATGCAGATGCAGCATTTCCTAATACAATTTTATAAAGACAACTGAAATCACAAAATGTGTTCCCCGGTCTCGTTTGATACTAAGGAAAAGGAAACTCGTTGACTGGTATATACTGTCTGTGTGGCAAGGGTTTCAAAATACGCGGCAAACTAGATGTCCGCTTGAGAGATTATGGTGGTAGTAGAAGAGAGATAGGATACCCTCGGACCGTCTCCTGGGGTGTTCCTTCTCAAAAGTGGAGTGGAACTCCATAGTTAATGTTGCCGGTTATATTTACATTATAAAGTATTTCTCCCGCCTTCTCTGCATGCCTTCGTGGTGTGGTGGTCTGCACGCTGGGTGCGTATTCCAGAGGTCTGTGGTTCGATTCCCGGCGAAGGCGCTGCTAATTTTTCATTTCTCCTGCTTCCAAAGAAATATTTAATGTCTCTACAGTGGCACCCCAACTAAAACGGTGATGGATGATGAATCTCTACACCCAGGATTTGGCGACTGGGTCCCCTAAAAACCCCAGTCGCCCTTTAAAAGGGGGAGTATATAAGGTACTTCTCCCGCTTTCTTTGCATGCCTTCGTGGTGTGGTGGTCTGCACGCTGGGCGCTTATTCCAGAGTTCCGCGGTTCGATTCCCGGTGAAGGAGCTGCTAATTTTTCATTTCTCCTGCTTCCAGAAAAATACCTAACATCTCTACAATATGACCAGATGGTGAAATTTTGGTATTTTGCCCACTTCTACCTGTACGTGTGTTTGCCGAAAAAAAAATGAAGCGGGTTTTCGCTTTTACGGGAAAAAAGAGCAGAAATGATGTTTTGGATTGGATTGGATTTGCTTAAGATTGCAAAACTTCAGGTAAGCTTCGCAGTATTTTTGGGAACTTATGTAGAGCTTTCTTAGAATACTAGAAGTAACACTAAAATTAATATTTGGAAGTATGGATAGAAATAAAAGATGACTATTAAACGGCTAAAGACTTTATTCTCTTTCAAGCCTTCCACATAAGCTATAACAAAAGAATTATTTCCAAACTCTCAGTGACAGATATACAGATATAAGCGTACATCTGGTAAATTCAATGCAGGACGAGTTGCTAAGAGATAAAGCTCTACCCCTCCCCCTTTGCTACATAATTTTTTCCCGAATGTCCCACTACTCAATTTCAGTTTGATGCATCATCATGATAACCACCAGCTCGTAGACTTCCTCTATTTCATTATCTTTCCGACACTCAAGGGATATTTACACCTTTCAAAAGAAACGGTTAATTGTCTGAAATTTGGGTATCACTTATTTGAGCAATGTAAAAATACTGATTTATTAAATTATGAAAAGCGTATTAGAAGGAAGGGATTTTAATTTATAAGATTATGGAAAGTATATTATGGTGAAGCATATTAGGGCTGTGTGTCTAAGAAAAGGGAATGCCTTGATGGAGCACTTGATAAGGGAAACTGGCTCGTAATTATGATACACATTGGAGAACATCACAAAAGTGTCCATGAAGTAAGCTTGCTTGGAGGAATTTTAACCTCGTGTGAACTTTCAGTACTCGTATGAACTGTGTCCAGTGGATTTATCCGCACAGTCGCTGATGACCACAAACTTAAAAAATAGTGAAGTTTCGGATCATAATTTAACTGATTTTGCTTAAGCATACCCATTTAAAAACAATGTTTTAAAAAGTAGATTTCGTACTTTTGTTTCTAATTAATTGCCCTGTAAATGGAAAGTCTTAACTGCCAGAATTGACTTGATAATTTAGTAAAGATACAAGGAAAGTTTCTTTTTTATTTTCAAAGAATGATTTGAGAGTTTGGAAGCAATAAGCTATAACTGAAAAAAATTAAGCTGAGGATTTACAGATGGTCACATAAGTTTTTCGACTATTAACGTTGTGCCTAAAGACAGTCTGTACACTTGGGCACTACACCAGCTCAGAAACCAGTCTCTAAAATGTTACTTTCCTTGTTTCTGCGACGGAAAAACTGAATTATGGAAAAACCATGGACATGCGACATGCGACGGAGGACGTGGGCACCCACCCTTTCACTGGTGGACGCCACGTCCACCAGTGAAAAAAAAAAAAAAAAAAAAAAAAAAACCATGGAAGGATTTGTAACCCTCTGAAATCTGATGTCAGGAGATGTGAAAAATGAGCAACGCCTTCACCGGGAATCGCCTCTGGAATACGTGCCCAGCGTGCAGACCACTACACTACGAAGGCATGCTAGGAAGGAGGGAGAATTACCTTATATACTTCCCCTTTTAAAGCGCGACTGGGTTTTAGGAGACAAAATCCACAAATCCAAAGTGTGGAGAATAATCATCCAGCACCCGTTTTAGTTCGGGCGCCACTGTAGAGACATTAAATATTTTTTGAAATCAGAAGAGATGAGAAATAAGCTACACCTTCGCCGGGAATCGAACCACGGACATCTGGAATACGCGCCCAACGTGCAAACCAGTACACTACGAAGGCATGCTATAAGAAGGCGGGAGAAATACCTTATAGGTTTATCCTAAGTTTATAACCATTAAATTTATGAACTTTTCCTAACTCGCATAGCTTCAGCTTACAATTCCTTACCAGAATGAGTTTTTAGAATCACGTTAAATGCAAATGAGAAGGAGTGGTATTTAAGTCGAAGTTCCACTGACTTCTGGAGAGAGAATCAGAATTCCTGAATAGCGCGCGTTTGCCTTTTGGCTGCGTCTCTCTAAGCTGTTACTACGCTCGACCTTATTATGTGCACTTGATAATTCGATATTTAGGGGTTAACCAGTTTAGATTGGTGTTAGCTCCGGCTAAATCTCTTTAATTAGGCATTATTTTTATACTTTTGAGTTTAAGCTCAAGTGGAGGCTTTGTTGTACGCTCTGAGAAAGGGGCCGACTGTATATCTTTATTGTGAGCAATAAAGGGTAATTAGCCCTTCTTGAGTTTACGTTTCTATTCCTAAACTTAAGCGATTATTCGCTTAGCTGTTCATTAGGTTCCTCAACGCTTAGTTAATAGACAAAAGGGAGAAAGGAACGCTACAACGAAAAAAAAAAAAAATCTTTAAATCACGCCATTTATTAATTTGTAGACTGATACAAATTTTATTCACACATTTAAACATACAGATTTGATTAACTTTTTTTTTCATTTTTTTCAAAAAATAAATATGATCGGTTACAAATTGTTGCACTAAGAATGATCGAGAATAATCGCTTTGTTTGAGAGTATATTAAATTTGAACAGATCTTTTCCCACAGCAGAAAGTTAATAAGAACTCGATTACAGATGAGCTTCTACAATCCGTGATGAAGATAATTCCTAGTCATTTTTCTCCAGGGCTCCAAACCTTATCATAATTAAAACGCCATCCAGTGTCAAGCTGTAATAAGAAATAAAGAAGCTTAGAATTATATGTACACAGATATATGCAGTTTAACTTATATGCCGAGGAAAATCGAATAAATAAGACAAAAACTATCAGATTGTCATTATTCATCCTCAGATTTGTTTGGTTTGAAAAATTTTCTCTGAAAACATGGAAAGCTTTTATAATTAATTTACTTTTAGTCTAAATTAAAGTAAGTTTATTAAAGATTAATTAAAAATATTAGAATTATTTGAAATAAATATCTTAAATATTAATATTTGGCTATGAATATGCTGGAATTACAAACTGTGACTAACAAAAATTTGTTGCTGATAGTAGCTTGAAATTTCCAATAGAAAATAAAAATAAATTTGAATTTTTCCTTTGTGTCGTAATTATTCTTGTTTATATGTATGCTTTGATACATATTTCGCAAGCGAAATTTAAAATTTACTTCAAATATTCTTTATTTTGTTGATAAAATTTTTTCATTTTGCTAAAAAAATTGTGGTTCCTCAACTGTTTTTGGAACGGGCAGTCGGTGCGTGTGCAATTTGAGTTTGAGACCACTGGGTCAGGCGATCACAAGAGCCTTGTTGTAAAATTAGCCCGTTTAAGGAATCTGTTGTTCAGTCTCAGTGTGACTTATTAATTATGCTATAAATATTGTTAAAAAGGTATAATGTTAGGGATAAAAGGTAGCTATAAATTGTATGATTATTTGACTAAGAAAAATTGTTATAAATAAGGCAAGAATTTGATAGAATTTTTAATGCAACAAAATTTAATATCAGGAATATTAATATGCTGGATAAAACTTCGTATTCCAAAAATATTTCATTAATCTGCAATTATTATGTATTTAAAAAAGTTAAAAAGATCGAAAATTTCTAAGTATTTAAAAGTTAATTTTCTTTGATTTAATCAAGCTTATTCAATACAAAAGAAACTGATGTAGACACCATATGACTTCCTTTCACGACCTATTAAATTACACACATTTTTTTGCTGCACTTCGTATTCGCACTTTAAACTTTTTTCCTCGAATTATTCTAACTGAATTGACCTATCCCTCGAGGCAGGTTGAAATGATATCAAAAACTGCAGAATTTGAAAGGAAATATCCCTATCAATTTTTGTCGAACTGAAGTCAAATTTCTCATAATGTTTGTTTTTTCATAAAGAGTATAAAACTTTCCCAAATTTACGTACAGGAACCGGAAGACAGCATTAAAAGTTAAACTTTATTATTTATCTAAAATTAATTGCTTTTTAACTTCACATTGCCAAGATATGAATATTTTCGTCATTTAAACGATTTCTGTAATTGGAGATATATGACTGCGACCAATGATTGCGAAAATAAAGGCCGGGTAAGGGGGATGAATATACATAGTATATACTTTTAGTACTGCCGATTGCAATAATCAAGAGATGTCATAGTAGTCCATATACACGATTTCCCTATCAATTTTTGTCGAACTGACGAAAGTTCTACGACTGATCATCTGCGAGTTATGAGGGCTATATATGTATATACTTTTAGTACTGCCGATTGCAATAATCAAGAGATGTCATAGTAGTCCATATACACGATTTCCCTATCAATTTTTGTCGAACTGACGAAAGTTCTACGACTGATCATCTGCGAGTTATGAGGGCTATATATGTATATACTTTTAGTACTGCCGATTGCAATAATCAAGAGATGTCATAGTAGTCCATATACACGATTTCCCTATCAATTTTTGTCGAACTGACGAAAGTTCTACGACTGATCATCTGCGAGTTATGAGGGCTATATATGTATATACTTTTAGTACTGCCGATTGCAATAATCAAGAGATGTCATAGTAGTCCATATACACGATTTCCCTATCAATTTTTGTCGAACTGACGAAAGTTCTACGACTGATCATCTGCGAGTTATGAGGGCTATATATGTATGTACATACGTACAAATGTCACGAAAAAAATCCATTGAATCTATTTTGAATCCATTGTAGAAACTGTTTTGGAAACACGAATTCTTTATTCTGCTCGTACGTGCAAGCATCATCACGCAAAAAAATAATCAAAATGGATATTTCCGCTGAAATGTGATGCCGATTACTATACTTTCTTTACTTCGTATAATGAAGAATTAATGAGCACATATTGAACAGTTTTAAATAGCTGTCTGTTGTAATTGCAATTAGGTGTAGATTGATTATATTTGCAATAATTTTAAACTTACTCATTTTTTTTAAACATTGTGTACAATTAGTTTCATTTGTTTGCTGTTGTGAATATCCGATAATATTTGAAGAAACAACTCAGTCGTCAGCTTAGATATATATTTATACTGTTACTGTAGAAAGAAGCACGATGGAACAAATACAGTTATTTCTTCAAAACCTTAACTTTTTCACTGTTCTAATAAAGAAAAATAAATTCCAGTACTGCTTTTAAAAGCATCTTCGAGTATAATGACTTAAGTAATATTAGTTAATATATTTTTTTCAATGATTCTCCGAAAACTTTTACCAGCATAAATATACGAATGGTTTCTATTCATTTTATTTTGCTCGAAACACTGAGGTAACCACCATTTTCTTCCAATAAACTTGTTTAACTGTCGATTTAATGTATAGTTTTCATCATGTAGAGGTACTCTGATTCAAGATTTTGGGGGCGGTGATTTAAAAATATGTACTTTCAGTTTAATATCGTTCATTGGAAAATAAAAAGCTATTGCCAATCTAACCGACATAAGATCTGTAATTAATTTTTCATGTAAAAATAGTGTGTATTGCTTATTAGTGAAACAAAATAAACTAACGTTTCTCAAACTTTTATCTGCTGGGGACCACTTTTGTTAATCAGAATGTTCTGTGAGCATTCTTATTTTTGGCTCCTTCGAAACCAACGTTTTAGCATATGTTATTACCACTTATATTTTAAAAGTATAATTAATTAAAATTAATTACATTTTACACATTTATTTAATGATGAATTTGATACAGTTTTTCTCTAGCTATTTTGCCCCATGCACCCCCTTCACGATCACTAGATCATTTCCCTCCTCCTTTAAAAAAAAAACTCAAAAAATACATATAGACATTTATTTAGATTTAGATTAATTTTTTAATGTGTTTTACAACTTAAACAACAAAAAGCATAGAAAATGGTAAATGTTGATAAACGCCAAAACTTAGAAAGTAGTTCTTATATTCCTAAACTGAAACTAATTCGTAACAGCTAAATTTAAGGTTGAGCACATTTCCAAACTATTAAATTCAACCTGGGGGGAGGGTGAAGTTGTCCCTGAGTTAATAAAACGAAATTTTTATTTGCTTTTAATAAATGAAGGCTATTAGAGTTTAGTTGTTTATTAAATAAATGTTAAACATAAAACATAGCTGTTTTATGTTTGGATGTATATTGGTAAGAAGCATCACAGTCATAGTGCTTTAAATCCTTATGTTGCTGTTAACACAACAGTGAGAATTTCCTAGGTACAGTAACAAGTAATCGATTCCATAAACTGTCAGTCTTGGGAGAAAACATATGTTCAGATGCGCATGCGTATTGGAAACTCTGAGATTTTCAGTTACAGTGTGGTATATGCACAGTTAATTTGAATTTTATTTATTTTTTTAACTTTAGGGGAATCCCCAAGAGTAGGCTTCGAGAACCATTTGTTGTCCAGAAAGCCCAGGGTCAGGATTGCTGAACTAAACTGTTTAAGATCTATGTCTTTTTCTCGATAATATTTCGATACATTTTGCTGGCCATAAAATTGTGAACGGGATATTTGCTTTTTGTACATCCTACTTCTACGGTGTGATTTCATTATTACTTGCAAAACAGAATATTGACTTCTTACGAAAACTACTTGTTAGCATTTGTGCTTTTAGTATAATAATAATTTAATTTTTAACTAAATATATTATATAACTTCATTGAAGGTTAGTTTTATATTATTCATAACGATAAAGCACTCGAAGGCTACTTCTGCTTTAGGAATGATGCCTTCACGGAGAATATTTTAGAAGAAAGTTTCCCCTACTTAATGCTTTTCCTGAGTTTGTTTTGGTTTATTTGATTACGGCAAAGCACTCGAGGGCTACCTGCTTATTGTTATCTATGTTGCACATGAGAAAACCACAAAGGTGTCCATGCAGCCAGCATTTTCGTCTACAATCAATCTCAGGTCGAACTATCAGTGTTTAGCGACAATAACCACTAGGCCGCTGTTCAGGGAAAAATCAGAGTAACCTCTAATCTATGCAAGCATTATATTAATTATCTGAAACGAAGCCCAAAATGAATTACTAATATCTAGCTGTTATCCACTGGTCCGTTAATCGAGTCGTATTTACTAAAGAATTTCTGTCTAACTTTGATACTTGTGAATAAAACAAGCGCAAAAGTAAAATCTAACAGGAATGAAAATATTGACAGTGATTTCAAATTTCGCTTCAGTAAAGTTCGGTGACAGATTTTGACTTGTTTAGTTGGCATGTTGTACGTATGTAAGATCAAATATTTTTCATTATAAAAGTGCAGATTTACATTTATTGACAGATTCACACGTTTTAACTAGAAATGGTTCCAATGCATAATATTAGTCTCTCATCTCCCCAATGATACAGAGCTAGCCAAACATACATACCTTTGGTAGAGGGTTCAAATTCCGAAAGATGCAAGCACTTTAATGCATTTTCAGAACGGGATTCTTAAAATCTATCAGTCTAAAGTTCTGTAGAGTAATCGGTAGTAGGACTACGAAAAATTCATATTCCATTTCATGAACATGGTTTTGGTCAGAAATGGGATTTTAGGACAACCATTTTTAAACCGAACTCATGTATACCATATGCATTTTGACCTATTCGTAAATATTAGCTACTGCGGTAGTTTTCATTACATTGTTTGGAATACAATTAAATAATAAATTAGATAATTTATGAGTTTGAAAAATCACTCACGGCTTTCTGATCATTAACTCTTGGAGCCCACAGATATGCCTAAGAATCGCTGGGTTAGCCCAGAGATGCCCAACCTTCTTCTTGCATCGACTCCTTTTAAAAGGATAGTTTTCTTCATCTGCCGTAATACAAGTAACTGCATATAAATAACTTGAAGAGAACAATTATTCTAAGAATAAAAATGATTTATTAAATATATGTTTTATTATTTCTATATAATTGTTAATTTTAATTTTACAAATATAAACACGTTTTCAAAAACAAAATCACCGATTCCAATTGTACTTACGTTCGATTTTAATTAACGTAATGTTTGTGCTTGGTAAACTGATGCAATTCGTCTAATATTTGGCATAATTTTGCTTAACATAATTCTCAAATCAGCTCATTCAAAAACATTCAGCCTGTTTCTTGTTTTTTTCCAATAAGTTATTGACTTCACTAAAGCCTGCTTTCGGATGACATTTAAATTCTAAAATTTAGAGTACCCATGCGTTTTGAATAAGCTTTGTACTTGAGCATTCTCGTTCAGTGCAGTCAACTCTTTTTGAAACTAATATGAAGACCAATTATATCGCAACTGAGCCATTCTATGAGCCTTGCTGGCACATTCGGTTTTTCAATGCCTTGGAATCTAGCATTAAAATCTTTTTTTAATTTACAACTGGCTTGTATATAAATAATACTATATCTTTTATGAAGAAATACTAACTTTTTTCAATAAGATATAATCGCATTAAGTTCTTTCTTTTTTGGTTGTGTTTTCTTGTGTTCCTACGTTTTATTCTTTTTTATATTGCACAAACATTTATATGATTTACAAAATATTATTGATTCATCAATAAGCAAATAATTATAAACTATTTTGTAACCAATGGGATCTTAATTAATCCGACCTATTGCCGGTGCATATTCGGCTATCGACCCCTTGACCGTTTATCCTCTTTAAAATTCCATCGACCTCCAGGTAGTGAAAACCAAGGAGGTGTCCTTAGTCAATATCGATCCCGTTGGGAGCCTCTAAATCAGGAAGATACCTGCCGCCATATCCTTTGCCTAAATGAGATAATGCTTGCATAGTTAAACTCGAATCACATTAATTTTCAATTTATGTGTTCGTTGAGTAATTCAGATTGCAACATATTTATTTATACGAGTATATTTAATTACTTTGAAGGCAAGCAGTAGATAATTGTAAACAATCTATGCATCAAAAAATCTTCTTTGGAAGTATGTAATACTTAAAGGTCAAAATATAAATCATAAAAATATACGAAGATTAACAATGTTTATTTTGTAATTCTAGCTTTCCGTTGCGTGTGATTTGTACTGCAGCCTTCTCACGTCTCCGATAAACACTGTCATTTCCAGATTAGGAAGTAAGATATTGAAATTCCATTATCATTTCATGTTGTTTCGCACGGCACTAATAATAATGACAAGTAGCCGGTAGAAAATAACACCGTTAAAGTCATTTCTTATCTCATCGGGCCAATAACACGCAAAACAGAGTTCAGTTCATGTGAGTGTTGTTTATAAATATAGCCAAAAAAAAAAAAAAAAATGCCGGTAGCCTTCTTTTGTGGTAAACGAAAGCTGCCATTTGTTTTCGACTAGAAAAGGTTCAACTCCAGCGCCATTTTTGAATTGATTACAGTTATGGTCTGCCGAATTACAGAAGCGTGGTTTTATTGTTTAAGATATCTTTGCTGTTTATTATCACCAGCAGAAGAAGGGAGCATATATAGCTTGAAAGATGCTATTTCTTAGGTCAATGACAAGAATTATTTTGAAGAGTATTGAGTTCAATATTTTAAGTGCTTCTAAGGGGGGGGGGGGAAAAACATAAATAATTTTTTTTTAAATTCGTCTTAGAAATGAAGTAAGCCTTTCTAAATAGTTTTAATATAAACCTTTTCATTTCCTATTTTTAAATATTTAAAATTTATTTAATTGTTAATACACCATTTGCTATTTTTAAATAATTCGATTAAATTCATTTGCTATTTTCAAACACTTTAATTCATTTCATTTGTTATTTATCAGTATTTTAGTATTTAATTAATTCCATTTGCTAGTTTTAAATATTTTAGGATTTAATTAATTCCATTTTCGCTTTAAATTCTGTACCATTTTAAAGCCTTAAATTAACAGCATTATCAGCAGCTTTATAAATAGCTATGTATTGATCCGTTAATGCCTGTCAATGTCACTACTAAACTAAATTTAGGGTCATTTGGGATTAAAGAATGGCCATCGGTCTGAGACGCACAATAAATTTTGAAAGTTTTAAATTAAAATCTACGTTGTCATTGTGATGTTCAAGAACTTTGTTGGTCACCATCCTACATGTTAGCCGTCAATATTAAGTGACCTAGAATTTGACAGTCATTATTCCACACCAGAAATCAATGACCACTTGTATGGGACGATACCATAATTTTAATATTTTAAAATTAAAATGATAATGAAACACATCAATTCTAGGGGTTGAGGGTTACGGGAGATCAACTCAGAGATCGCTAGTGCGGGCAATGGAGTAAATTCGAGCAAATTTTAAAAACAAAATTTAACGAAAGTACAGAGATTCTCATTGAAGCTGTTAGTCACTAGTGATTTAGTTGCAGTCACCGATGACTTAAGATACTGGAGATCAACCTGTAATGTCACTGTCGTTAGAGACTGCAGTTAATTTACATACATTTTTTTTGCAGTGGTAATATTTTCCAGAGTAGTGAATAATAAATACTTGATAGCGTAACGTAATGTAAACTTCAAAGCTTTAAAAAAGTGTGAAATACTGATCTTTTGCCCGGTTGTTGAGCTTAGACTAAGTTAGGATTCTGACTAAGGTAAGGTAAGTAGCGGGCTATTTGGCTATGCAAGAGGGATGTCTTTGTGAAGGACTTTCTAAGGGAAAGTGGCTTATTATCCGCGTTATCTATGATGAAAACTTTCATGCAGCTAGCCCGTTCGCTAGAATTCGAACTGACATCGAGGTACTAGTGTTCAGTGACTTAAATACTTTGCCCACGGAATTTAGAACCTTTATAACTCTTAGTTACTTTACATATATCGTGTATGTAGGAGTAAATATTTTTCACTTGGGGGGGGAGGATCCGATTTCTTTTTTTTCTTTTTTTTCCAACTCTCTCTTATTTTCCATGCATGCATGTGTTTCTGTTTTATATATATATATATAAAAAAAAAGGTCACCCTTTTTTTAAGTTAATCACGCGTATGTATATGTAATGCTCTTTTTTACTGAATAATAATAATAATAATAATTTTTTAGATTCATGCATAGTAAAAGTAACATTTGACGCTTTAATATGATAAGCTAGAATCTGGGGGATTAAATTATCAGCTATTGTAATAAAGAATTAGAAAATACCGTTGTTTTGGGGGATGGAACATTTTTCTTATTGTATGTGATCTTTTTCTTGTTCATTAACAAGCTTATCTATTTCTCGCATAGTCGCAAAGAATATTTCAGTTAACATATTAAAAACACGTTGCATAAATTCGATGTAACATTTTTGCGAAACGGCTGCTTGTTTGAACTGGCCTTCAAATATGTTTTTCCATAATTCTTTTATGTTGTAGAGACATTAGGTATTTTTTGAATGAAGGAGAGATGCTTCGCAGAAGTTAGCTTCGTTGTTTAAATGCGCTTTGCATTGCGTTGTGTTTAACGTTCTTAGTAATTTGAAGTGTAACTACTGATTGTACTTTGTGTATTATGAAGAGTTGTACGACTATTTCTGCGGAAAGTTTTAGAATTGTGAAGTGTTTCTTTTGTCAAAATAAATTTTATCAAGCTATCATCAATTCCGTGTGCAATCAATCTATTAAGAACACGTACGAGCGCAAATACGGTATTTGTTGTAACATTTTATTCTTAAAAACAATTTCTAGCCATCGGTTTTTCGATTCTTAAAATATGTATGAAAAATTATGAGAAATGCCAACAGCTTTCGCACGTGACGGAAAACAACAAAAAATATAATTAAATTATTACATTTTGCTTATTATAGTTTATATATTTATTTTATATTTAACAATTTTTATTGGTTTATTTTTAATGAATTAATTTGTTCAGTAGTTTTTTAGATTAGTTATATTTGTTATCATTTATTTTTGTTATCATTCACGCTTACGTTATGTTAAAAAATTGCACTGAATTGTAAACAAACTTTCGAAAACCAGAAAAGAACAAATCTAGTATTTTCTCACAAATTTATAAAAGAATTTAAAACTGTTTAAAATTTCTCTTCGCGTATTAAGTAAGTATTTCAAGTGAATTTAAATAAATAAAATGTAATATTATTCAGGTTTCTTTTCTCTACTTGATTTAATTGAAAATCTTACTATAAATTTAAGAAGACTGACAATGTATGAAAGTCGGCATTCTAGAGAATACCTAGGATTTTATAGAATTCCGAATCTAGGCAGTAGTGTACGAACTGACTAATATTTCATATGTTTTCTATGTTAGAGAATGCCAAATGACAAACCGTCACAGTACGAAATACATCACCGATTCGTTTCGAATAACCATACATTTAATGCATTCATACACAATCCATACATAATACATACATTTAATACATTCATTCCATAATTTCTACATTTCATACATTGCTTTCTTTAATAAGAAAGGTATAAATTTTATTTTGTCAACATTCATTTATATATTTTGAATAAAAATTTTTAATGCCACACTTTCATTTTTTTTAAAATAACGTTTGTATTTTTGTATATACATCTTTTAAACAATAACCTTATTATGAGCTTTTTATCATACTTTACATAAATAGCATTTGTCAATCTATCAAATACCTAGGTATTATATACAATGCCTAAGGAAAGTTTATAATAATTCTCGCATTTCATACTTTGCCTAAAAACGCCAGATATTCTACAAACTGAATAGGTATTCTATAGAAAGCCTGCGTTGCCGCTAATAGATATATGAAACGAATATACTAAAGTATAATTACATGAAACAATGGCCTAGCAAAAGCAGCCAAAATGAAAATAAAGATAATGACTATTATTATACGTCAGTTTATTATTTGAATCATTATACTCATTTACATATTCAGATTTTGCGAG